CATCTTCTCCATCGGTAATCAGGTGTGGGTTGTCCACAACAAATTTTCCCCGTAACACTTGTTTCATTTTTTGAAGTAAAGAAATTATTTTCTGGATTAACATGACGTATCAATCGTATCATACAAATTAATAAATTACGTAGGTAACTAACAATCGAGTCCTTTGTAGGTCAATACAAAGGATACATCCATATCACACGCTTTAAAACAACTTTTTATAATGAGTGGAGTTAAACCCCTTGAACAATAGAGAATAAACAAACGCAGATAGCTAATGAATAGGTATTCAAACATTAATTAAACGGAGTGTTACTTCATACCAGCAACTGAATCAAGGCCAGCTCTAATGTGTCATTCGTCTGATAATACTGAATTTTACACATATTGTAAAAAAAATGGATACGTTTATTTTTTGTAACAAAACGCAACATTTAATTTATTATTATTCTATATAAATCTTTTATTATTTTAATCACGCGATGCTGTTCTGTTAGAATGGATGGGAGGAAATCTCCCGGCGCGGCGCGGCGCTCCGTGCTCCGTCGCCATGCGTCCGCTAAATTGTGTCAAGGCCAATTGCTCAACACGTGATTTTAAAAACTTTTACGTTCCCTTTCAGCAAGCCCTGTAAGGTACTATTGCGCAACGGTTTCCAATGTTATTCTTTAGAATTCGTTGATGGAATACTTTAGTATAAGTTAGTCGTTTGTGCCGATATTATGTTGTTTAGCAATTAAATCTGTTACGTTAAGTTTTAGTTAAGTTGCCTGTCGTGTATGATATAATAATATACAATCTGTGTATTGGTCTGCCTCTTTACCTAGTGGCCGTAAACTCGACTGCTGATCATGTAGTCCCGGACAGAAATCCGGGTTGAGCAGTTAGTTGTTGGGTTTTACCCTCAAGGAATTTCGTTCATTCTCAATAGAAGCCCGGACCCGGAGTCAACAAGTTGGCGGTGTTTCAACCCCGTGCCATGGACAGAAAGTAAAGCCGTTTGTCCCGCGAATGATCTCTCTCCGATCGTGTGGATTGCCATCCCATCGGACACTGAGATTAAGGTAGAATAAATAAAGAGTGCTCCCGTGCTTGCACACACTCTTGCACTATAATTCTTTCCCGCGCAGATGGCTAGTCTCCGTCGAGACTGGCCGCCGTGACCGAAATTTGAGAATCGTTGTTATGCAATAAAACCTTTTCAGAGTTGTAAGTATTTTATATTTTATGACAGCCTTGTTCCATTCTGTAATTTTATACGTACATATAATATAAAGTATAAGCACGTTTCGAAGAAACATGAAGATTTATGTTTACTCGATATTAATAAATGTTAACGTAAACAAATCCACACGTGCAGTTGGCAAGTACAGTTGTGTGTTTCGAGCGGAGGGCAAATAAAAAAGCGTCAATACACCAATACACCTAGCTGGACTCCAGCCAGTTGAGACCAGTTGTTTAGTTGCAGACGTAGAGACGTATATTACTCATATATATCGTTTGCTTTGGCGCTTGTGGACAGACTACGATGCTATCTCGTTCTGTGAGTTTGGAAAATCGACTATAGGAAAAGATTGGGCTCGCGTACTTCCTCAAACATTAGAATAACCATCTAGATTATTATTGCAAGATTAATAAACTGGTTTAATAATAGGTGATTTTTTTGGCTTGATTACTCGTACCAATTCTGAATATCCAACAACATAAATAAACTTATTTATTGCGCCATATACGCATGAACATAGATGTAAACATAAACACCCCCTTGTTCTAACCTAGCCCTTGTATCCAGTATAACTGTAATGCGATAAGATCTAGAGGTGTTAACGACGATCCGATACCAAAAACTTAGAATGAGTGATTTTTCATAAATGTTGAGATGGCTTAAATTCCAACACAGAATCAGAAACAGAATGATTCCGTGTTTAGGTAGGTATATTAATTTGAGAAGCAAGCCACGTGGTATCTTGTCGATTTAGCTGTATATTGTATACTGAATATTGTACATAGACTCCTTTAACAGTAAAGTTACATCCTATATACGTCCCATAGTTGGACACTCTTTCTTTTCTTTATAGAGCGATTAGTCTGCTGCACTGCCCCAGTGCGTGTTTGCGGACTACACGTCCTTCGAAATATTATATCCTCAGACAATACAAATGAAACATGGACGAAATCCTGTAATAAAATTATTTTGATTTGACTTTGGATGATACCTTCTTTTTTGAAATCGATCATTAAATTTCTATATAACACAACCTCAGACCAACAAATAATGATAGTCGACTACGCATGTTTCAAGTGACACCGAAACCATGCCCTAATCATTAACACGCACTCACACACATCATCTATCCTTCTTTAATAGCCCGTAAAAGTCCAAAGCTGGACGCACGAACAAACCCAGAGATAGGGCATCTAGTTATAGACCCATCAGGCTCCTCAGTGCTATGGGGAAAATCTATCAGCGCATCATCCTCAACCGTCTGAAGGATGCAGTGCTAAGTAAAAACCTAATTCCAAACGAGCAGTTTGGCTTTCAAGCCAAACACTCAAATGCTCAGCAGGTGCACCGCCTCATTGAGCACATTTTAGATCAGGCCGCAAAGGCGAACAAGCGCGCTGTTTACACAGCAGCACTGTTCTTCGATGTGACCAAGGCCTTTGACAAATTCTGGCACAATGGACTAGTCTACAAGCTTATCCATATAGGTGTGCCCTTAAGACTTGTCAAAATCGTTCAAGATTTTCTTGTAAATAGATCCTTTCGTTTTCGCGTGGAGGGTACTTTCTCCTCTTCCAGACCCATCAGAGCAGGAGTTCCCCAGGGCTCTGTGCTCTCCCCGACCCTATACTCACTCTACGTAACTGATATTCCTTTGACACCAGGTACTCATCTCGCACTATACGCGGATGATACTACCATCTACTCCTCAGATGTCCACCCTATTAGAATCTGCGGTCGACTCCAATTAGGCGATTGGTGCAGAAAATGGAAAATCGAGCTGAACCCCGATAAGAGCAAAGCCATCTTTTTTAACAGAAGGTTTGCTTATAACAGATTAATGGCAAATATTAAAAAATATAAAAACGGTACGATCTCCCCCTACGACAGCCCAATCCCATGGGTCCGAGAGGTGAAATACCTGGGGGTGACCTTAGATTGTGCAAAGAGCTTCTCTCAGAACATTAGAACAGTTAGGAATAAGACAAAATTCGTAGTGTATCGTCTTTACGCCTTAACCAACAAAAGCAGTAAGCTGTCCCTAAGACACAAACTGCATCTCTATGAAACCTGCGTATGTCCTATCATGACATACGCGGGTGTGTCCTTTACTCATGTCCCCAAAAGGAGTTTACAAAAAGTTCAAGCTATTCAAAATAAATTCCTGCGTCAGATCACAGGAGCTCCCGGAACGCGGATCTTCACCACGACCTCGATATCAAAAGGAATCGTTATCACTATCCATTCGTATCTTAAGGAATTATCCTAAATATATAATATCGAAGTATCTTAATACTTCGATTCGATTAAGGAACACGAAAATCCGTTGGTGAATGAGGCGGGCTCGTACTTCCCAGTGAGGGATGCTGCCCCCCACAGGAGACGTTCCAAGAACGTTCTTCTTGATCCCGACGACGAGATCACTTCTATGAATACGTCGATCACCCCCCCCCCCCCCCCCCTCCACAGGATAGAGAACTAGTTTAGTTAACATAAACACACACACACACTCAGACACTACTCTAGTACAGAACACTAGGGCACACCGCGTTCGCCGGCGAACGCGTCGTCACAGACACAGCCCGTACACGAGGTTCAACACCCGTGATACGGGGCGTTTCTAAATTTGCGACCCGTAACCAAAATTGCGATTGTGATTCAAGTCGAGGTTCGTACCTCCTTCTGAGGGGCCCTTGAATCGCATCGAGCCCCCCCCCCCCCCCCCCTCCTATCTCGAGGAGCCTCACTCCGAAAGCAGGGGTCGGGGTGCCTCGGCACTCCGTTGAATCGTTGCACTCCATAGTTCGTAGGTCCTCACTTACGAGCCTAATTAGATGAAGCTGTCAAGGCCGCAGGTCTAACAGCGTACACTTTCAGAAAAAAAAACATCTTTGCACATAAAACCATGTTGTTGGTTACTATTGATTTTAGATACATTTGTGTGTATAGTGCGTGTTCTTAAGCTAAGAATAGTTTCTCTGAGGACACAACACGTATCTTTTTAAAAGTAGCGAATTCTCACATAGATAACCCGACTCTTGTTGCGGTGGTCACAGAGCAATCGAGGGGTCTCAGAATATACATATATCCGTTTGAAACTCATCATCATTATTTCCAGCGTATCCGCACTAGTACTATAACAATGACGCGACTCGACAACACAACGACAAAGCAATATAAGATAGAAAGCTATTATAACAAATTAAGGCGACTGTTCATCCATTCATTACAGCCTTTCATCAGTTCTCTGGTGAACATAAACCTCCTCCAAGGCATGCCACAAAGCACGGTCCAGAGTAACCAGCATATATCGATCGCATCGCTTAGACGTCCATTAATTACGTGAGGCGATTTTGGCGATTTTTCTATCCTCCGGGGTAGAAGTGCCCCTTACGAGATGTCGTGAGATATGGCTCGATTCCCTCGACCCCCTCACCCCTTCCCCAAATCACACGTGAGAATTTTCAAAATGCGTATTTTTAGTATAAATACACGTTCATCTGTGTTTGTATGCGTTGGGTTTATTAAAAAAATAAAATATATAACTTGCTTAGTTATTTTTATGTTATTTATGGAGTATCCCTCTCCCCCACGTGAGATTGGGTGAGATTTGGCTCGACTACCTCCCCCCACCCTTAAACATCTCACGTAATTAATGTACGTCCCCTTGCCAGGTCGTCACTCCATTCGGCAGGTGGCCGCCCCACACATCGCTTAACGAAATGAATCTGCCACTTATGATAATACTAATAACAGTAATAATGTCACGGCGCCTTACCTCCGAGCAATCCATACGTGAGCATCATCATTGTCACGCTCTTGCTGAGTGTCGACAGCGCAAAAGCGACAGTCGCTATCAAGGAGCCGGCGACGCACACGGCCCGACAGCCGTATTTGTTGCATAGCGCTGATACCACCGGACCTGTGACATAAATTTGAAGCTATACAATATATTTAATGCCAGGTTGGACAAAAGATATTTTACACACGAATTAGACGCGCGACAATTGACAATTTTTTGCAATAGTATTTGCTTGGAAATAATATGTGGACACATGAAATATGTACTCAATTTAATTTAATACATTCTTAATCGAATGGGTTTTTAATATAAATAATTTTTATTAATCGCGATAAAAAAATATACTTATATAATTTAATCGCAGGAAAAAACTTTCTAAGCTCTCTTTTTTTAAGTGATAACCATACAATATTTTCGATAATATGAAAGGCATGTTATTGAATTAGAACCTTCATCGGCTACATTTTTATTTAATTCCTTCATTTCCTCATAATAAACAAAAATGTTTCTAATAAAATAAATTTTTGTCCACTAAATGTCGCACGCTTATTTCGTACTGCACAAATATGCACGCAACGGTGAAGGAAGGAAATCCTCGACTTAATTAATAAAAAAAAATAATGAGATAGGTTTAAAAGTGGCTGCTGTGTAATATAAGACACAACGTAAGACAATAACTACATATTATATAGATTGATGACGTAGAATGATGACTGATGAGTAGTAGTAGTAGTAGTAGTAGTAGTAGTAGTAGTAGAGGCACATGTTTAAACGAACCGAAAACACTACAATTAATACAGTTAAACAAGTTTATGAATAATATATACAACCTGTAACAAAAACCCTGTGGTTTCCGTTAAAAGCGTTATCAGAGTCAGTATTCAAACGTAAAAAAATAACTTTTTTTCTATAAACTTGAACATTAAAAAATTTAATATTAATTAAAAAAAACTATTTTGCGAATTGTATGTGGTTTTATTACCTCTGTATTATGCGGGGAATAAGAGGATTGTCAAAGAACCCCCTTTTCCGATGCTCGTGTCAGTTAGTGGCAATAAAACCACATACAAATTGCAAATAATTTTTTTTAAATTATTTTTTTTAATGTTGAAGTTTTTGAAAAAGAAAGTTATTTCTTTACGTCTGAGTACCGGCTCTGATAACGCACTTAAATGGAACCACAGGGTTTTTGTTACACGTTGTATATGTTTTTAAAATTGACAAAAATATTTTTTTGTTTTTTTTCTTTTCATATTAATACATTGTCATTCGTTTCTGGAATATATTCAAAATTACAAGTCTCTAGCTCATCGGGAAGTTAGTTTTAAATTAATTCCTAAATTCGATTCGAACAGATACACGGAAAATAAAGTGGTAAAAAGGAGTTGAAGAAGTTAAAATAAGATTGTTTTTTTTTTTGTAACCTTTATGAATAATATGTCATATGACAAATTTACGATAAAGTTACGAAAAATATCGCTGACTTCAAAACATACTTTACGTAAATATTTCAGAACGACGCCTTATTCACTGTTTATGGTAAACAAACTACCGCGCGCGATGAATCGAACATAAACCCGAAGGTAAACCACATTTTTAAATCACTACCGTTAATTGTTTTCATTACCATAATTTTTATTACATTTATTACATTTTATTCCATTACAACAACGCAGTTAGTAACAAACGAGCTTGTCCATTTTGAAAGATGCGGTTGAAACCCATGAATACATGTTTATCTATACATATAAATAAAGATGAAGTGTCTGTCTGTAATATTGAAATCACTTGCTTCTTTTAAAAGCTCAGCAGGTTATTTACATGGTATAAAACAAATAACCATTTTGCACGCCTCATAACGCGTTATAGCTGTGTTTTAGTCTCGACACGTCAAGGTCAAGAATTTTTGTGTTCTTAAAATGCCTTTATCATAACCATATTACTCTTATACGATAATGTGAAAAAAACACAAATAATTAATCCAACTTATAATTTCTAAAAAATAATTTTATATTGCTACTTTAAAACAAACGGTTTGAAAAAGCTTCACGTGGACCTCCGGATGTGAATTTTGTATGTGGTCACGATAACTCCCGAAAAAATTGATTTTATTTTATATCAATAGCTTAGTAAGCGTAGTTTGTTAACAAAATGATTTTCAACTTTTATAAGTTAGTGCAACTTAAAAATTTAAAAGCGCTGTCATATATTTTTTTAGCATTTGATAGACAAAGGACAAATGAAGCCTATATCGATTTTATACTTCGTGTAATCGATTTATTTTGGTAAACATTTTTTCCCTGTAGGTAACACTACCTGTTAAAATAATAGAGCGCTGAATTTAATACACGTAAATAATATATTTTAAGTCAGAAATACAATTTATTTTTTTCATCAAAATTAAATGAAATGCTGATGAGGCGTGCACTTTTAGATTTTCCAAACTATTTAAAATTTTTGTCTGTGTGTCCGGGCTAATCTTTGAAATGGCTGAACCGATTGTAATGAAACTTTACGAACAGATAGAGAGCAATGCCAGGAATCATTTAGGCTATATGTTATCCGAAAACTTTGAAGATTTAACGCAGAAAAAACGAAATTTACGAAAAAATTAAAGACATAGACATACATAATATGATTTATTAGCATCAATACACTCACAAAATATACATTTAGAAGTAAATAAAAACATAAAAAACATACAAGGTATAAGATGGAAAACATAAATGGAAAAAATAAAAAAACTAGCGGTAAATCCAATTGGCAATCCCTAAGCGCAAAAAAAAAATTATACTTCCAATTTCCCAATAATTTTATGTCCAACTTCAATTAAAAAAAAAGGTTTGGAAAATCCAAAAGTGCACGTCTCATAATACTCATATAATCATCATATCATTATTCAGGTCACTCCATAAAGTCCAAGACGTCTTTAAGTATAAATATACTTAAATACGAGTATATACATCTTACTTACTTTTAGTATGTATTACTATTGTTTATTCTGTGCTGTTAAAATATTGTAATAAAATGTCTCATTATTATAATAATCAAGAATGTATGAAATTTGGTGTTTCGAATATTTTATATTTGTACAGCAATCTTTTTGAACCACTGCAAACAACCGATACAGTATCCACCCACGACGACGGCTGACGCCGAAATGAGTGAGTGAGGCAGTCTATTTAGTAAAATATTTTTTTTTACTAAATATATATACAATATATACATATGATATGATATTATGTTATATATTATATGCACATTAATTATCCATATATATTTATTAAATCGTATTTATTGAAATGCTAAAAGCTGTTTTTTTTTAATTGATATTTAATACCGTTTACAGATTGAGTTTCCCGTATAGGTGGTGGTAAATTGTTCCAACATTTAGTGATAATGGTCATAAGAGTTACTTACTCACTCATGAAGAGTTAGAGGCCGGATATCAGAAATGTGAAATTGTTTCATCCATTTGGTTCTTTGAAGTGGGCTTTTACTTTTAGTTAAAAGTTAAAAAAATATTCTTTTTGGTGAACTAAGGAACGTCACAACTCTTTGAGGTCTAAATAGTTAAATTAAAAATTTCATCCACTATTTCATCACCTTTACACTAATGTCTGGTGTTCGATGAGATTGGCCGCCGTGGATCGGTCTGGAGGACATTATTACAAGTGACAGAGGACAGCATCATTCATGACGTTTAATACTAAAATCACCTGCTAAGCGTGACTTAAGGTAAGTTTACGTATCTATATTTACTCGAATACTACACATGACGTAATGAAACAAATTTTCATATCTAGGATTAGGAAACACCTTTGCCCAGCAGTGGCCAGTTATCGGACGATGCTGTTGATGAAACTGTGTATGGACGCCTAGAATTTCGTAAGATTAACTGCCAGGCTTTATCGCCTTGTGCTGAATCCTAAATACGTATATTATATAGTTATTATCCACTCGTTATTTTCAATACTTGCTATCTAGTTCAAGGGATTGGTTGCGTACTTGATGGCCTACTAAATACCTATCCCTTTAATTGCGCTGCTTTTTTATTCAATGTACAAGTATTTTCTGTACATAAATATACAATGTGTCCGGGTTTGTAGTAATAAAACTTTAAGGCAGGTATATACACTTAATTTTATCGACTAAACCACCCCATATAAGGAGTGCAATTCCCACACCCTCAAAGATAGGGCAATGTTAGTATCTGACTTACTTATTTCGATATCCACATAATCTAACAACTATAACATTTTACACGTGGTAGAGCCATGCTGGAACTATATTAATAGTATAGTAATTGTAGCAAGAATGGGTCGGCTCGATCAGGGAAGGGCCACGCTCTCACATAATACCAGCTTAATATAGCAGCTTAATGCTGCTGTGATTCGTATGGTGAGTGTAGAGAACCAGTTACCCCTTTTACTGGAAAAGAGACGTCCTATCTTAGTCCTCACGGCTGAGAACACATCTGCATTTTGATTCGTAAACGAGAATAGATGTAGGTGTCTATGGGCCACAGCAACGACTTACCATCAGGAGGACTGTGTGCTCTGTCACCCTTAGTCTAAAAAAAATTACTTTGGACCTAGGTCTCACTGAGGCATACATTTAATATTATTATTTTACGCGCTTATAAAAGTCTGAATACCCTTATTGGGCAAAACGGGATTCCGTCTGTGTGTGGCCGACCCGATCGGAATTCCGACACGGAATCCCGAAACGGAATGCCGTATGTATGTGGCCGGCCTTAGACGTGACTTAAGTGTAATTCAAATTTTTTCGGACTGAAGTAGCATTCAGTAAAATCTATGGTCCGTTTACGCAGTTTCCGTATTTAAAGGTAGCGTTGTTTTTCATTTCTGTTTTCATTAAGCGTTTTAATATACACTTACTACTATACAATTTTCAGACTTTACATAATATATTACATCCTACCGTTACCGTTACAGTCTATTCAAGTCCACTGATGACATAGGCCTCCACCATAGATTACCTCATTGCGGGTATATTTTCCATAGTTGCCACACTTGGCAAACGGGTTGGCAACCGCAGTTTTTTATTTTTAGTGGTTATTAGGAAGACGCTGGTGCCCATCTTCTGATTAGTTTCCC